ATAAGTTTGCATGATAATGAATTACGAACATTAGTTTTAATTATTACTTAGTAAACAGATTTATCTATCTGTAACTTATAAGTACATTTATATTTTACAGGGCTGTATTTACATATTCATATAGTTACTTCGTTTTCGTCTGAATAAAAGTTACAGAACCCTAGATTGAAGTTAGTTATTTATTACTAAAAGCCTGAGGAAAACCGGCTTTTACATACACAAGAAACTAAAATTAAAAATAATACAAGACTAACAAAGGCTAGAGGCTCCTGACTTGGGACAGGCGCAAAAAATGCGGCGGGGTTAAACATGTTTATGAGATCTCAACCCTCCCCCTATACCTCTAGCCAATGTAGAAAAGTAAACGCATAACAATACGCACATTAAAATTCAGTTCAAGAGAAGTCCGAGTCTGATGTCAGAAGATGTAACCAAAGAAAATAAACAAAATGACAATAATACATAAATAACAACAGACTACTCGCAGTTAACTGACATGCCAGCTCCAGACTTCAATTAAACTGATTGAAAGATTATGTCTTCATCATATGAATATCAGGCACAATCCTTCCCGTTAGGGGTTTAGTATCATACCATCATAACATATATGAGAAGAACATAACCCGTGTCATGCCAACAACTGGTTTTTAAATAAATGTGTTTAGTGCCGATGCAAAGACCCTATAAGTGAATCAATATTAACGCCAAAATATGCAATCTTTAATGACCTGACAACAGTATCGTAACTATATCCCTTCTTAATAAGTCTATTTAAAGGTTTTGTTAGTTTCAGAGGTGAATACTGACATTTTTGTGCTTTATAAAGAATATTTCCATAAAAAATTGGATGTGAAATACCTGAACGTATAAGAAGTCTGCATGTTGAGCTATATTTACGAATGATGTCCTTATACCGATGATAAAATTTAGTAAATGTTTTGACTAGTTTGTGATATCGAAAACCCTGGTGTAATAATTTTTCAGTAATACATAAATTTCTCTCGTTAAAATCTAAAACATTGTTACATACACGAGCGAATCGTACAAGTTGAGATATATAAACACCGTAAGATGGTGACAAGGGAACGTCACCATCTAAAAATGGATAATTAACGATAGGAAATGAAAAATCATCTCTTTTATCATATATTTTAGTATTAAGCTTTCCGTAAATGATATAGATATCAAGATCGAGGAAAGGGCAGTGGTCATTGTTAGTATTAGCTTTATTTAAAGTAAGTTCAACAGGATAAATTTCTTTAGTATACATACTGAAGTCGTCATTATTGAGTTGAATGTTCTAGTCAGAAATATTTGTTATCAATTGAATGTTCTAGTCAGGTATATTTTAAATACACACAAATGTTCTAGTCAGATATATTTTTAATACACACAAATGTTCTAGTCAGATATATTTTTAATACACACAAATGTTCTTATGCGAACGTTTATATTAAGAAATAACAGCCCATTAATGTAATGCATTTTTAGCTCACCTGGCCATGTGATCTATTGCCATCACTTGGAGTCTGTCGTCCGTAATTTTTTTCAAAAATAATTTTTTAAACCAATGGATCAAATGGTTTGAAACTTTGCAGGAATGTTTTATTGAATGTGTACTACAACAATAGCACCTTTGTTTAGATTAAAAAACATGGCTGCTGTTAGTACACATGGAACATCGGGGCAAATTGTTGTTTTTGGCCAATATATCGAAAATCTGACATAGAGTAGAAATGATCAGGACAATAAGAGTTAGCCACCCTACAATTTTGAAGTAAATATGATGACCCACCTGAGAGTTATTGCCCTTTTTTCTTTGTTAAGAAAATCAAGATCTACCTACCCTGCAATTTTGAAGTAAACCCAATATCTATCTTAGAGTTATTGCCCTTTTCATCAATTTTTTAAGTGTTTGTGTCGCCTGGATAGCTATTTCATTTCTTTACAAAGCCTCTTCAAATTAAAATGAGTTTACTCCTACCAAAACTTTGGATGAGTTGTTATCACCAAAATCTGAGATGGGAAATTATTATCCCCTCACAACAAATCTGTGAATAGGATATAGTCATTTGTTTCTCCGTATCAATGTTGGAGACGGCATAGGGGTCATATCTTACATCAGATCAACATGAAAATTGGTATACAAGTTTCCCATGAATGGAGGAAGAACTAATTGAATTTCAAGACCAGAGTTCAATGGTCATAAATAGACTTAAAATTATATAGAAAGAGCCTACATGCAATATAGGGCCAACAAATGCATCTATTTAACACTATTCAGAATTGGTTCGCTGAATCCAATTGAATGTCATCAGGTCAGTGATGTAGTTACCTCATAGCATTATGGACACAAATTGAGGGTTTGTGAAAAGTTCCCCTCATGGAAGTGCCCTTATTTGTTGGGGAGCACATTATTTGTACATAGACTATATTTGATTGTTTGTATTAATTAGCTTTAGTTGAAGTTGTTAAAAAGTTACTTGAATAAAGAGATAATTTGAATGTTTGAGTATGCTTTTAGATCACAAGCAAAGGTGGGGTAAGCTTATATCACCACTTATCCTAACATCAAACAACTTGACCCAATGAACTTGACTTACATTATGTCTTTCATTTGATGAAGAGAGACATGTTGTTTTAGTCTCTCTCGTTCTTTTCAGTGACGCTTGTCCAGGCCACACCTTGTTTGTCTTTTGACCTAGACTTTAGATGTATGGCACATGAGTGTATTGCCAGAATGTGTGTCCTGACCGTCAGGTCAAATTACTGTTTTAGTGTTAACTTGTCTCAAGCATGTTTCTATCTCTTTACCTAGGCTTCAGATATTTGACTTTTACACATATGGTGTAAAATAATTGTTGTAACTTTGACACATTTCTTCCATCATAGATAGAGGCAGGGGATGATTTCGTTTAATGGAAATGCAAACAAACAACTTTTGAGTTGATTGATATGAACCATGAAATTATGTATGAGACTTTATGTACAATGGCGTAGTTCACTTTGTAATATGGGTGCTGTCATCGTAGAAGACTGAACACAGTGTTGTACATGTATTTGTATGTTTTCATGTGCTGTGCATTATGCTAATAAATGAGCACGAGTGTGTACATAGAGTGAATCCATACTCTGATTTTGTCAGTCAAAATCGAGGTTAAAACAATCTATGTTAGCGATCTTGTGGAAAATATCTTTAACAATAAAATCAAATGTTATAGAAATGTTTATAGCAAGGTTCTGACCAAATGCATCCTGGCCAACACAGGCTATTACAAACTATAAGATGCTGAAATTTTAAAGATCAACTTGTGTTAATTTAACAACAAATTTAATTTCTTGTAATAATTTCCAAACACTTTAAATAGTCATTTATTCCAAAGTTTTCATGAGTTCGGTTGACTTCTCTCAATGCCTGTCTAGACTGTTCGTTGATTAAATGGCTAATTGGGGCAAATATTGGTCGGTTCCCTTCCTCGGTGTTATTCAAATTAATATGTCCTTCAAGTCCATACTCTAGTAATTCTGTTTCACTAAGTTGTATGCCTACTGGGTTTTGAAGTTGGCCAGATGACCACAAAATCAAAGGAGACGATTTAACTGTACGCATCCTATGACCAGCCCATGCTGTTTCCCACAGTTGAAGCCTTCTGTTTATCTCCCCTATATATATGAAATGTAGAGCTGCTAAATGCTGTAGGTTGAATGGATCTAGAATATCTTGATCCTCCATATAATAGAATAAGTTATAAAAATAACATAGGACACCCTCAAATATGTCCCTCCATAATCTCTCAATCCTTTGATTGTGGGTACTCAGGCCTGTTAACATACTTCCATCACCCCTTTCACTGAGCATAAAGTCTGCAACTGACACGTTTTCCAGTCCCTTGTCCGATCTAACCCTTAGAGGCACACCGAGGTTGGCGACACCTGACAAAAAACAGTTTAAGACTGTTTGAGACGTGTTGTTATCACAGCATTTAAGAAACATTGTCATTCTGCTTAAACCATCAACACCACCTATTATTACGAATCGCCAGCGTACAAGCTTATGGTTAGTGTCTATATGCCACAAGTGGTTCTGCCCAATTACGTTATAAACTCGTCTGTGAAGTCTTCCCGATTTCCTTGTTTGAGCTCCAGACGAATCTAAACGTTGAATAGTCTCTTAGACGCCATCTATGTACTCTAATGCCTTTGGCAATTAACATATGTTTAAGCATATTTTCACCACACAGAGGAAACTCTTGAATAGTTTCTCCCAATACAACATCAAGGTCATCATCGTTAAGTTTTGATAATGTACGTTTACTCAGATCAAACTGTGCCATTCTTCGATATATTGTACGTTCAGATACAAGTAAAAGCTTTGCAACATCCGAGATCAAAAATCCATTATCAAGTAAATTTTCAAGTTTAGATTTGTCTATGTCAAAGTTAGGAGGTCCGGAACTTCCTTGAATTTTCTGTGGTTTAATAGTCCCATATTTAATACACTCAATTCGAAGCTTCATCGTGTCTGCTGTATTTGAAACTCCGAGAGCTTCTATTTCATGTCTCGAAAGCATACCCACAATGTTTGGTGTTATCTTTTCTCTTTCAAAATGTACAAACGCATGCTTCAAATCAACCTTATTTAGTACACTCAACATGAGTGATTCCTCCATTTTGTTTTTTTTTCTAATTTCCCTTGATTCCTTTTGTCTTTACAAAATGACAAAGTACCATCATATAATATCAAAGTACCATCGTATAATGTCAAAGTACCATCATATAATGTCAAATTATCATCGTATAATGTCAAAGTACCATCGTATAATGTCAAAGTACCATCGTAAAATGTCAAAGTACCATCATATGATGTCAAAGTACCATCGTATAATATCAAAGTACCATCATATAATGCCAAAGTACCATCGTTTAATGTGAAAGTACCATCATATAATGAAAGTTTTTAACATAAGGCAGTTACGGCGTTCCATATAAACAACTAAAAGTTATATCAAGTATTTTATTATAACAAAACATTGTTTATATATGCAAATAAATTAAAAACAAAACATATCAGTGCTATGAAAAAAAATTAGAAAGGCATTAAATTAAAAGTGAAGGTCATCAGCTAACATCCGACATTTTGGTGCTTATTATGTATGTCTCTCATGAATCTAATTAAGCGTTATTATTGGCACTGTTAATATGCAAAATGTTATATTATACTTTGTATCCATCACCCCAAAAGAACCAATCCACATATTGACGAAACACAAAGAACTTTATCCGAATGAATTAGACTTTTGTTTTCAAAGTCTTGAATTTATTTATATAGCTATATGATTTATTTATAGTGTTAAACGTCGATTTCAGTACTAGTTGTATATCTGAGGCAAGTATTAATTGGTAGAGGAAGCCAATGTACACTATGTTATCTTATGTGTTGCGTCATATAGAAACCGACCTTATGAAAACGAATATCACAAAACATACCATTTCGTACTTGAATGTTCCGAAATCAGTCACAGTCTTATACATGTGAACTTATATATACATGCACTTACAAAAGGTCGATTTCTATCTGACACAGCTTCTATGCATTTAAGATATTAAAAAAGAATGCCACAGACGTAATTCTAAACTTTATACAAGTTTTAACTTAACATTTTTTTTTTACATTTTTACAGATACGCATAGTTAATGTTAAACAAAAAAAAAAAACATTTCTGATACCTTTATAAAGAAACTGCATACTTTGGCTCTCATTAGAACTTCTTTCAATCACAAACTAGTTTATGTTATGGTCTCTGACCACGTTGATAAAAAGAAAAATTAAACACACACACAAATTTAAAATACACAAAACAAACAAAAAAAACACACCCTAATCAAAGTATACCATTCGATTTTGTCCAAGTTTACAACATTAAAATCATTCTACTTGTTCAATATCAAGGTAAAAATAAATAAAACAGAAATGTGTTTATTTTAGACAATATAATCATTTGGGACATATATTTTTCTTAACGCATAAAGTCCCCTAAAAATCTTTATTTCTTTATAAAAAAGGAAGGACGTTCCAAAATATTTACAAAGCCATCAACCACCAAGCAGATGCAAAACAAAGAAACCAGAACTTTGACACAATTATGGACGGACAATCAATTTGACAAATAATGTTGAATATGATAATCCCCAAATCACGTCATATCACGTACTCTCTTGGAATATAATATGCTAATTGTATGAAATAGAATACCCTGATAATCACATACGAAAAAAATTACTACGCAGACCGAAATTAATGACTATCAGGTTAGCCTTAAACAAGCAATTATTTTATAGTCTCAATGACGGTAGTTCAAAATCCCACACGTGCATTAATACAAATTTTCATTATAGCAGCTTCATGTGTAAAAGTTCATTTCTTCTGCCTTCAACACATCTGGCTAGTCTGTGACACACGTCTTTGTTTTTTTTCCCGAGCATATTGTTCATGGGATGGAAGTAATCTGGTAGTTTGCACTGATCCAAATGGCTTTTAAATGCCTTAAGAGAATCCGTGTAACAGTTGTGAATGTTTTTCTGGTTCCAATAATCTTTATTGTTGGGTTGGTGTCGTTCGTTCATCCAAAACATTGAGTGCTAAAAATAAAAAAAGTATGTACATTTCTTTGTTAGTTTTGCTTTTGTCATATAAAATTCAGATTTTTTGTACATAGTTCTTTCCGTAAAGATAGTCTTGCTGTTTACAACATGTTTGTTAAATATAAGTTGAAACCGTTTAGTTAAAACTTAAAAATGCAATAAAATAAAAACAGGTTAGTTTAAATTTCAGTCATATTGTATTATTTGTATTACTTTTTTTCATGACATCTAAGATGAGTTTATTATTAATGCGTTTTCTAATTCATCAGTATAGTTTAACATTTTGAGAAAGTAAACATAAATTGTAGAATTACTGATTGTGCAGCTTCATACATTCCATTAATATTTTAAACTATAAAAAATTTATATCAAATGAATAAATATGACCCTTGGCGTGTACTCGACCGAAAAGCTACATATTTAAGCACATAACAAGTTATCAAAGAAGACTAATATATGTCTTCGTTTATGGATTTCGAAAAGACCGGCAACTATCAGTATTAGATATTTGCTTGGACCACAATTCAAATAGACTTGATTCCTCTACCTCCCCCCCCCCCAAAAAAAAATAACATAAAAAAACCGACAAAAATACGCTATCCAAGAGCCATTGGAACAGTCCTACTCTGTTTTTTCTAGTTTTTATGGACGCCAGTTAGACCTGTTTGAACGTTATGGAAATTGTTTGGCATATATGAGAACAACTGTTTTCAATGCAACTCATACTATAGTGAAGACAGAAATTTGTGTTGGTTGATCTTCAGTAAGTGTTTTGAACGGTTATCTACTATTTTTCTATCCTTTTATGGCCTTGTGGATGTCTTTCCTTTTTTGTTTTTTAATATTTCACCCATAAAACTACAATGTACGTATGACCCCTAGTTTTTACCTTCAAAAGGTGTGATGATATCCCCGGATAATTATCAGTGGATTTCGACTTCCAGGTTTGTACGTCTGCCTTTAACATCTTATAACATTGACGGCGACATTGATTCCCCGTATCTAATCCTCTCATTAGCTCCTTCTCTGCTTTAGAGTGGGATACATTCCAAAATTCACCTCCTTTAGGGACCATGTGGGTTCCGACGTTGTTAATTCTATCTATTGTTTTTTTCGACAGAACTTTACTTGTGTCAGGACGAGGCCAACCGTACACACCAACTGGTACGTGTCTATCACCAATCGTTGTAGTGACGTCTATATTGATATCGTGTTTCCCTTTTGAACCAGTTTTGGTCAATGTCAGTGCTGGACCATGGGAATTTCTTGAAATATGCACATCTGAATAACATATGCATATTACTTAAAGGTGCCTATTTTCAGACATACGATTTTTGATCGACCCTCGCTTTCTAATTCCCTTTTCCCTTCAAAACGATTACACAAGTTTTTGTTATTTTTTAACTTGACGCTTTGCAATAGCTCTTTTGTTTCACATTCGTTGTCATTGGAAGATTTTATAGCAACTCACTTGAGATTTTGAAAGCCTTCTTTCATTTTGTTCACACTTTTTCTATACAGGTGGCGATTTTTGTTATACTAGTTTATTGGTTATGTCGGTTGTTGACATATGCAGATATGAAAATGTGTTGATGCTGTAATTGCTATCTCTTTGACGTATAGACGTTGCGAACGATGTTGATAACAGTGGGTGTTTTCACGACGTCTCCTATAAAATGTATAATAAGACGAATTTGACGTTCAACTTGTTACAAATAACATTTGAAGCGTTAAAATTCTATTTATATACCTTTTATATCATTTTATTTATAAATGAAGGTTAACATTTTTTGCACTTAAACCGCAGATCATGAAAAAATATTCATTAAATACCTTTAAGGTTCAAGTCTTTAATGGCAGTCCTCATCTTGCTGTAAAGATCCTCCTGAACTTTTCTAGGTATTATGTCCCCATTATGTGTTACTTTACTTGCCATCTTTGCATTCCCCGCAGCATTAACAGCAGCATATCCGATAGGGATATAGTTCTGTGTACCTTTTGGAACTGCAGTCATTTCTCTTATCACATTAAGATTTTCTGGAGATGCACTCTAAAATAGAGTTTTCGATATTGTAATATCTTATTTCAATTTCCTTTTCTTATTAAACCATGTATGGTTAAACATTGCTGGAAAAATCCAAGTCTAAAAAAACTGAATGGTGATATGACTTATTTATCATACTCAGTTGTAGAAATGTATGTCTAGGTATCAGGTACAATTAATTTTGACACTTGCTATATTTACTTTATTTTGAAATGAGATAAAGCCATGGGGCCCTTTCCGTGAGGTTCAATGAGAACATACCTTAAAAATTTTAACGGGAGGTATCAATTGTTTGCACTAGTTCCATGTTAAAGTACATATCATATATCTTTGGAACCATGTAAAAAAAATCTTTAATTCGTTGAAGCCGAAAAGGATTTTTAACCGGAAGAGGCATACTGTCTCCATTGTTTCAAGACAAAAGTACACTAATTTTTAATCACTGTTGAGCATTATATTTATTTAACACCAGAAGTGACTCATTCTTATTCCCCCTATTCCATATAAGAAAAAGTTCCATAATATTTATAATTTCTGAATCAGTAAGACATTATTAACCGAATCGTTAAAGTTACCATTTTTTTTTAAAGTTACAGAATCAAATTTATTCAGTTGAAGTAACACTAGAACAGTGCCTGGATTAAACATACACTGTCTTCGTTTCTAAGTTCTTTATTCTATTTTTCTTTATTTCATTGTTAAAATTATTTTCCATTAATTCTTTATTCTCTATATCTTAGCACTCCATCATGTCCTTTCTTTGTTGTTTTCCTGTTTATCATTATTATTTATCTTATGGTCATTATCATGTATTTCGTAGACACTCTATCGCCATGTGGGATCATTGACTGTAAAAAAGTTGTGATAGTCTTCTATTTACGATAATATCGATACATGTTTGTGAAATTCAATATCTCTCAATGTCTGTTCGTCTTTTTCATTTTTAGCCATGATGATGTCAGTTTGTTTTCGATCTATATAGCTATGAGTTTGAATGTCTTTCTGGTATCTTTCGCTCCTCTTTTACAGGATTAACGGCATGCTGCTGGTATTAAACTTCTGATCAATCCAAAATAAACCTATACTTGTCTGTATGGCTGCGTTAATTGCAACATAAGGTTTTTGAATACTTACCTTTGGGTCACGTGGGTTCAAATTATCTTTGTAGGTATACTTTACTGTCCCTTTAGTTTTGACGTCAGCCACAGGAATGTTCAAAGCAATGTTTACGTCAAACTCGTCGGCTTTTTTTACCTTGGTTCTTGTAGCATGACTTCCGGCTTTTCTGATATCACTACTGTAAATTTTGCCATTCTCTTGTGTGCGAACATGATCCATGATTTTGTTTAACGTGTCACGACACTTTCCAACACTCTCCTTACGATCATCTTTGCTAACCATGACATTTGTTTTGTAAAACTCATCATAATATTCTCCTTTGCTTTTGTATTTTGCATCTGTGATATTCAAGTTTTCTTGTTTATCGTGAATATGCTGAGCGAGACCATCTGCAGATTTACATGTTTTTCCACAATCACACTGATTAGGGGGTTTAGTATAATCATGAAGTTTATCCCTTTGGTGATCTTTTAATGTCCCATTTGTTTCAAATGACCGACAACAACTGGAGCAAGGATTTTCTTTCATGTTTTCCTTCATTGTTTTCTCGTGTGATTTTAATTCTTCTTCAGAAGTAAACTTGTATCCACAACCACAACCGTGTGTTCCATGGTTCATGGCAGTATGACATGTTTGTTGCGCTGCGCTCCTAAATCTAGTCTCTCCACAAACTGGGCATGCCATGTTTATACGGTACTATTCTGGAATTGAATGCACATATGGTATAAATATGAAATAAAATTGTTTAGTTGTGTTTTATTTTTAATTTGTTTTGTTTGTTGAGTGTTTATGTCATACAATGGTGTGAATTATGTCCCAAATTACATTAGGATGTAACATTTTACAAAACAAAATATACAGAACGAATAATTATGTTTGAATTGAAGTAGGATACATTTAAAACGATGACGTTACTAACACAAACTTCCATATGAATTAAACAAAAAATGATACATAAAACTAAAATCAAACAAAATTAATCAAACAAAAAGAAAACAATTACTATTAATAATGAGTAAGGCAAAAACAATATGTATATTTATCACTTCAGTTAACCACTAAATAGGTATGTGGTAAAAGAACCAGTTTGCATTTAAAATCCCACTAGGGATTGGAGATAAGAGAGCTCAACCTTAACAATGCCAAAATAAATGTGACTCTGTTTATGCCAATGTATGATATGTTTGATATGAGGGGACAGGTGAGCAACCGCCGGATATATTTTAACATTGTGTAACGTAACTCGTTATACATTTTCCTAACAGTGGATCTCATGTGATAGCTTCCATAATGTGATATTGTCGTGTCAAATAAATATGTAGAAGAAGACATGAGTGTCAAAATATTGTCATTTTGTTTGCTTCAAAATATCTACTAATAATTTGGTCTGTTTAGTTAAGATTTATATATGCAAATGCATAACCAACCACTTTCCAAAATAGTGGCTTTGAAGATCTCTTAAATGTTTTGCGACATTTCTGATTTAATCGGAGTAACACATCCATTTCCATAAAACAGAATAATAGCTTAAATGAAATATTCAATAGATTGTTCATAAAAATCACCAATGGACTATCTAGTTGACAAAATGTGTCCAATGATCCTACCTGTCGAAAAATTAGAGTTATTGTCCTAAATTGACGATGTTTTGGGGCATTTTTGCCTATAATCTTGCAAACTATAATAATAGGTAAATAGAAACTTAAAAACCAGAAAATAATCAGCAGGATAAAATCTACAAATATGTCTACATGACTAAAATTGTCAATTATCTCTTTATCAAGGTAACCCCCATTAATGATAATTTTTACCATAAAGTGCAATTGTTAGAAATACAGGTGAGCGACACAGGCTCTTTATAGCCTCTTGTTTTATAATCGACAAATATGGTAAAAAATATAAAATATACAATAAGTTTATTCTAAAATACATAAAACGATAGAAGAATATCTTTGCAGTTAAAGGTATATAAGACCTACAATTGTAGAAATGTAAGGCATTGTCTCTAAAACGTTAACAGGATAGAACAATTAAACAGCAAAATTTTAAATGTTGGTAGTTGATCCATCTATTTGTATAAATAAAATCTATGCATGGCTTACGATATTCAAATTGGTTTAAATGAAAACTTTGATGTTTTTGAAAAACAAAATGCCTACAATGGTATAAATGTAAAGCATTGTCTCTATAACATTAACAGAAAAGAACTATTAAAATAGCATCATTTGACATATTAGTAGTTGATCCATCTTTTTGTATAAATAAAATCTATAGATGTAAGAAGATGTGGTATGAGTGCCAATGAGACAACTCTCCATCAAAGTCACAATTTGTAAAATTTTAAAGTAAACCATTATAGGTCAAAGTATGGTCTCCAACACGGAGCCTTGGCTCACACCGAACAACAAGCTATAAAGGGCCCCAAAAATTACTAGTGTATAACAATTTAAACAGAAAAAAAACCAACGGTCTTATCTATATTAAAAAAAAAGAGAAACGAGAAACAATTATGAACCACATCAACAAACGACAACCACTGAACATCAGGTTCCTGACTTAGGACAGGTGCAAACAAATGCAGCGGGTTTAAACGTTTTAATATGTACCAACCTTCACCCTTACCTGAAACAATAGTGTAACATCATAACATAGAAATACACACTATAAAATATCAATTGAAATTGCTTAACTCAACCAAAAGACATATTACTACAAACAAGTGAGCATACACTGAACGAATACATTTTATCTATGACACAATGTAAATACAATTTCAATGAAATAAGGGGATGAGATGTTAAACAATATTAGAAAGACAAAATGCCGCCAAATAAATATTGTACACAAGTAATGGAATACAGAAATAGTTTTAAAAAATAAATATTAAATAGTATGAGAACAGAAGTAAAAACTTATAGTCATACTTATCAAATCTGGTATAATATGCATGCCTTGGGGTATTGCAATGGGTATAATTGAAAACATCGAAGTTTTTGAAAAACATGTTGCATATCATACTGCACTAACACATTGATACACAGATTAATGGCTTATTTAGTGTATTTTGGTTCTTTTTTATCTTGAAGTTTGAAATATAATTGTACAATTTTCGATCAAATAGCACCCTTCGGGACTTATTTCTATCTGACGTCAGTATTTTGTTTTAGTTTTGCTTTACATTTTTACTTTTCTATTACTTCAAACTTCTTGCATTACACAGAATGCATAGCAAAATATATAACAAATATCTTTATTTTGTCTGAATTGTAGTAACATTGTTTGAAATCGTTTTCATAATGACTGGTTTTATCCATATAGCATGTATAGGCTTTGCAATAATGCCCTCTGGGCCAATGTTATAAGAACTGCTTCGATTTAAGGTCAAGGAACAGTAAATGGGTTATGTCGCAGATTTTGATAAAATTTTGCATACAACCTTGGCTCGTTGAACTACAAATTAAAATCGAAATTAATAATGCATGTATCTCTTTCATGTCTTTTTTTATCTGAAATATTACAGATTGATTTCTTTCAATATGGGTGAATATTTGTATAGAAAGCACATGAAATCGGCGAAAAATCTTCTAACATTTGGCTTAAAACATCTAATTTCAAATTTCTACTCCATAGATTTTTCTTAAAAAGCTATATGTTGATGACATATCAATTTCTGTTTTAATGATATACAATAATCATAGGATCACCGACTTCGTTTTTTGTCTAATAATCAATTTGTTACCTTGTTGGTAGTGAAAAACGTCAAATATCATTGTTTTACGGCCTACAACGCAACGCGATGATGTTACGTTCATTTCGAAGTTTCATGGGATTTTTTCACAAAGAACACAACTGTGAATGATGTATACCTTAAAAACGAAGTCTGTGACCCTATCTTTATTTTGCATCATTTAAACGGAAATCTATGTATCAACAACATATCGTTTTTAAAGAAAAATCTATGGAGTAAAAATTAGAGATTTGATGATTTTAAGACAAATTTTAGAATGTTTTTCGCCAATTTTATGTGCTTTCTATAATATGTTCATCCATTTTGGAAGAATTCAATCAGTACGTAATATTTCAAATGATAGATGAAATAAATGCATTATTTTTTCGATTTTCAGTTGTAGTTCATCGAGGCATAGTTGTATGCAAAATTTTACTGAAATCTATGACATAGCCTATTTACTGTAACTTGACCTTAAGTTGAACTGGGAATCTAAGCTTTGATTTACTGAATGGCTTATAAATTGAATCATACATGTATTTAAATGTAATGTGTAATGTAAATGCACTGTTATATGTCATTGATCAGTAATATTGTAATGGTCTCGGGTAAACACCAATGTCCCTCGGCCATAACTAAGGCCCTTATATAATAGACATTGGACATATAAAAGGGTCATCATGAAACCACCCAATTAATTACTAATACAGTATTACTAATATGACCCTGTATGTTTTTGTCCAATCAGTTTCCGTACGAAGTTATTTCTATATTTGCCTTTTTGATCACTCATCACAAAGTATGTTCATACATTCTTTTCAACATCTTGCTCCTCCCACTTCCCTCGTATGCTATACTCATTGAATAAATAAAAAAAAAGATTATACGAACCTTATATGCAAGTCGAACAGAAGGAAGTAAATTCAAATTACATTATACGTGGCCATATCTGATATGTGCATTAAATCCCTTTATTACAATCTCGTGACATGATGTAATATTAATTGACTTTTAAGGTCAGGTTTTACTTTTTGATATACATGTTAGAACATGTAGAGGAAGGATACTGTTTTTAATATAGATATAAAATGCATAAAATTCGGAGTTGCAGAAAAAGTCTAAATTTAGAACAATTTAGAAATTAAGATGATATTGATTGAAAATTTCCAATACAAGTGTAAGCTTATTCAAAAAGCTGGCTTCACGTCATTTATTATTTTTAATTCACCTGACCTAAAGGATCAAGTTTGTTCTAATCACTTGGCGTCTGTCGTCTGTCGTCTTCCTCTATCTGTTTCGTCCGATATTTAAATCGCATTAATCGAGTAGGAAGTGAAAAATCAAGGTAAATGTGATGGTATAAGATTGTCTACCTACATAACTATTAGTAAAAATAAAAAAAATAATTATTAAGGCCCTCATATCTTAACTTTATGAGCAAATTATTATTTCAATATTTTCATTTATGTTAGTAAACACTATACACACAATTTTAGTTTGAGAAAATCACATCTCATTTGAAAATAAACATTTGTTCATCTTACAATTTATCTAACTACTTCTGTTATACCATTAAGTGAATATATACGTTCGAAGAGTTTATATGGATTAACCTTCTTTAGGAACTTTTATATTCAAACATTTGAAAGCCAATGCTGCATAATTAGCCGGCAACGCGTAGACCTATACGACAGAAGGGACATAAAAAGAATTACAACATTTATATGACTAAAGGTGAACTTGCATGAGGGTTCTTGGGTTCGTAATACTTTCTTAATTTATCAGCGGAATTCAATGAAAATATGCTATAAAATCCTGTCAGTACCACGGTAAAGTATAGTGAGATGACGATACCCTCTAGAACACGTTGTTTTACTTTAACTGTAACCACGGCAGTGTAAAAAGTAAATCACAAAAATAATGAACTCCGAGGAAAATTCAAAACGGAAAGTCCACAATCAAATGGCAAAATCAAAAGCTCAAACACATCAAACGAATGGACAACAACTGTCATATTGCTGACTTGGTACATGCATTTTCTTATGTAGAAAAAGAGTGCAAACTTCTACATGTTTATCCTGTTTAAAATTGTAAATTGCATCTTTAACAACGATGTCTTATATTAAATAAAACCATCATTGATCCAGTTAAAATAGTGTACACCAGACGCGTGTTTCGTTTTCAAAAGCCTCACCAATAACGTTAAAACAAAAAAGTTTAATAAACCAAATAAAGTATTAAGTGAACGGTTAAAAGTTTATAACTGTTGTTTATTTCTTACTTCTGGTTCTGCCTTTGGGTTAATTTTTCATCTTGTGCGAATGTCCAATGTGAGTGTTAATTAGAAAAAGTAAAATGATAAAAATACCGACCTCGGAGGAAAATCCGATTCGGAAAATCCCGAATCAAATGGCAAAATCAAACGCTCAAACACATCAAACAAATGGATAACAACTGTCATACTCCTGACTTTGTACAGGCTTTTTCTTATGTAGAATATGGTGGATTAAACCTGATTTTATAGCTTACTAAACCCCTCACTTGTATGACAGTCGCATCAAATTTCATTATATTGACAGCGATGTGTGTACAAAATAAACATACTAGGTAAAAATGAGACGATTTGCATCTATCGTCCTGCAATCATAGTTTTACAATGAACGCTCAATTTGAATTAAAAGCCAAACGCAACTGCAGCATATAAGCACATTTTATTTGACCTACTATTATGAAATCAAAGTTTTCTTACTTGTTGTCGGATAGGAATCAACGATGTTCAAATGAAGCCATTTTTAGAAATAAAAATATAAACGTGGCTATGTTTGATTTCCGATTACTAGTATTATATTAACATACTGTCGATAACATCGAAATGTATTGCTCATTAGCAGAAGATATGTGTTGTGGTTATTTATTATTTTTAATTCACTTGACCTAATGGATCAAGTCTGTTCTAATCACTTGGCTTCGGTCGTCTGTCGTCCTCCTCTATCTTTTTCGTATGATATTTAAATCGCATTAATCGTTTAGGAAGTGAAAAATCAAGGTAAATGTGATGTTATCCGATTGTCTGCATGAATAACTATTAGTAAAAATAAAAATTTAATTATTCAGGTCCTCATATCTCAATTTTTTTAGCAAATTATTGTTTTAATATATTCATTTATATAAGTAAACACTTTACACTAGATTTTAGTTTCAGAAAAAATCACATCTCATTTAAAAACAAACTTGTTCATCTTACCTTTTATTAAACTTCGTTTTTTATACCCCTAAATGAAAATAACAAATTTCGTACGTTCGAAGAGTTTATATGGATAACCTTCTCTAGGAACTTTTATACTTAAACATTTGAAAGCCGATGCTGAATAATTAGCCCGCAACGCGTAGACCTATACGACAAAAAGGGACATAAATAGAATAACCAAATTTATATGACTAAATGTTAACTTGCATGAGGGTTCTTTGATTCGGAATCATTTCTTAATTTATCAGTGGAAAATATGCTATAAAATCATGTCAGTACCAAAAAAACTGCATAGTTAGCTGACTATACCCACTAGAACACGTGGTTTTACTTTATCAGTAACCACGGCATTGTAAAAGAGTGCAACCTTCTCTTTTTTTTATCTGGTTTAAAATTATAAATGGCAACTTTATAAATGATGTCTCATATTAAATAAAATCATCATTGATACCAGATAAGATTGTGTACGCTAAACGCGCGTTTCGTCTTCAAAAGACTCACCAATGACGCTCAAATATAAAAGTTTAATAAACCAAATATAGTATTAAGCGAACGATTAAACGTTTATAAATACTGTTTCTTCCTTACTTCTGGTTCTGCCTATGGATTTTTTCATCTTGTGAGTCTCAATAAGAAAAAAAAATAAAATAACAAAAATACCGAACTCCGAGGAAAATTCTTAACGGAAAGTCCCGAATCAAATGGCAAAATCAACTGCTCAAACACATCAAAAAAATGGATAACAACTGTCATATTCCTGACTTTGTATAGGCATTTTCTTATGTAGAAAATAGTGGATTAAACCTGGTTTTATAGCTAACTAAACCTCTCACTTGTATGACAGTCGCATTATATTGACAACGATGTGTGTACAAATCAAACAGACATACTAGGTAAAAAATAAACGATTTGCATCCATCGTCCTGAAACCAAAGTTTGACTATGAAAGCTCGATTTGAAGTAAAAGCAAAACGCTTGCAACAACTGTTGCATATTAACACATTTTCGTTGACTTACTAGCATTATGAAATCAAAGTTTTCTTAGCTTTGGTCGGATATGAAACAATGATATTCAAATGTAGGCATTTTCAGAAATAAGAATATAAACGTGGCTATGTTCGTTTTCGATTACTAGTATGCTATTCCACATATTGTCGATAACATCGAAATGTATTGCTCATTAGCAGAAAGTAGGTGTTGCAGTTACCCATTTGCCGGCGTATGTCTGTCAATAAACATTTAATTTATTTATTTACCTGAACTACAGGGTTGGCGACAGATTAACAGATTGTTTACGCATATATATTACAACTTTATCGATTTCGTCGATATCAAGTCTTTAAAAAAAACCTATTAGCGAAAGTCTTTAAAAAAAACCTATTAGCGATATAATGCATGAACACAGTGCCTAATGATTGATGAACTTGAAAGGAGTACAATAATCATGATAACAGTCTTGTTCTACAAATAACGAAGATCAAAACCCGCAGAATAGGTTTCAGTTGAAGCAAAGATGAATAAATCTATTTAAAAGTTGATTATAATGGCAGGAATAATAATATAAAATCACAAAACATGCTAGTTATTTTTATTTCAAGCATTGATGATAGGTTTGGTTTAGATTTGGACTCTTAAAGATTCATGTTACCGACATTAATGATGTTAAGGAATGCTGCCATTTCTTAAAGAGTTGTCACTTAATTCCAAAAGAACTCTGAGAAATCCTCACTTGCTCATGACAATATAAAAAAGAAGATGTGATATGATTGCTTATGAGACAACTATTCACAAGAGAACAAATGACACAGAAATTAACAACTATAGGTCACCGTACGGCCTTCAACAATGAGCAACATTGACTATTGAATATCGAAATCGAATAATTGAATGTTGGAAACCATATCTTAAATGTTGATTTTGAATGCTGATTATTTCAATGTTGAATTTAAATAGAATTTTGAAAGCTGAATGTTGAAACTAAACTTCCAACTCCTTCAGCCAAAGTTGACCTAAGATTATGGCATTTTTTTATTTAACTTTTGGTCATAAAGCTCTTTACGTTGCTGCTTATTTACTCATTCCATGGTTTAAATGATTGAGTTTGATCGTTCATTTTGAAGGTAAAATCAGAAATGAGCTCCGGACGCACTTAAGATATAAAGAGTTATTTCCAGTCGGTAAAAGGTTTACTGTATATTGAATGTTGAATGTCGAAATTAAAAGTTAAAAGTTGAACTTTGACAAAACAAATATCCAATGTTGAAAGAAGAAATCGAATTATATTGAAATCGAATGTTGAACGTTGATTTCTAATGTTGCATATATGAATATTGAATTCTGAAATCGAATGTCGAATATTTACATGTTAAATGTTGAACATTTGCATCCTGGAAATATATACGTATAAGCTGACTGTTGAGAACCAAATGTTAAAAGTTGAACTTTGACAAAACAAATATCCAATGTTGAAAGAAGAAATAGAATGCTGAACGTTGATTTCTAATGTTACATATATGAATATTGAATTCTGAAATCGAATGTTGAATATTTACATGTTAAATGTTGAACATTTGCATCCTGGAAATATATACGTGTAACCAGGTTGTTTTGGTCGTATAATAAATTAAACACCTCAGGATCAATGGATTCGTTTTATTGTGTAATATGAGAAATGACCCTGCAATACAAATACAAATAATCAGTACAAAGAAAGATAACT